TTCTCTGTGAGTGAGGCCCGTGGCAGGTGTGGGAGTCCCAGGGCCACTGCCACCCCTCCTCCGGGCTCTCCTCCTCCCCACACAGCCTTGTGCTTGCTGAGGAGTGGCACATGCACAGGATCCCTTCACACTAATCTGGGATGTTGAGACTCTCCCTCTCGTTGGACCATGAAGCATTTTCACATTATCAAGATCCTTGTTAGGAAGAAGGAAGCGGGACTTCAGCATCTCTGCAGGGAGGTCTGCTGCAGGGAAGGTGGAGTGGACATCCCTTTTGTCTTCTCACAAAGCATGTTGCACGTAACACATAGGATGATTCTGGGTAGTAGAAAGGGGAGGGAGGCCAGCAAGGGGCCCTGGGACATGAGGAGACATGTGGTGGTGTGTGTCCCTGGGTTTTCCTTTACTTCATTGGTTCCAGAACTTGGGCTGAAGAAGCCAGCAACAAGGGCGCCCAAAGAAAGATGCTCTCTCAAAAAGGAGCAGCCAAGCAAGACAGAAAACTTCTAGACAGTCACCACGTACTCCAGACGAGGGTGTGAGGAAAGTGTCTGCACTTCCACCCATGGTAGGAAAGGCGGAGTAGGGACTTGGACCTCACCCTCACCCGCATGGTGAGGCCAACACTCTGCCAGGTATCAAAGGAGTCTGCAGGAATTTTGTGCACCTTGACTAAAAGGGATCCATGGACTTCGATGTAAAATGTACAACTATCAAACTCCTATTTAAAAAAAAAAAAAAGAGGAGATCTTCAGAATCTAAGGCATTAGAGTTCTCAGCCCTGTTACCAAAAGGACAATCTATTTAAGAGGAAAACCTGATCAACTGAACTTCATTGAAATGTAAAACCTTCCAGACAATGGAACATTATTTAGTGATAAAAATAAATGAGAATTAGCTGGGTATGGTGGCACGCACCTGTAGTCCCAACTATTAGAGAGGCTGAGGCAGAAGGATTGCCTAAGCCTGGGAGGTTGAGGTTGTGCTGTGTCACTGCACTCCAGCCTGGGTGACCAAGTGACCCCAACTCAAAAATAAAATAAAATAGAAATTTTTAAAAAGAAATGAGCTATCTGGTCATAAAGGAATCTTAACTTCTTTAACTGAGTGAAAGAAGCCAATCTGTGAAATCTACAGACTCTACGGTTCCAACTTACGACATTCTGGAAAAGGCAAAACTATGGAGACAGTAAAAAAAAAAACTGGGGACTGGTCTCAGTGGCTTAGCCTGTAATCCCAGCACTTTGGGAGGCTGAGCGAGTGGATTGTCTGAGCCCGCGGGTTCAAGACCAGCCCAGACAACTTGGCGAGAACTTGTCTCTACAAAAATTCAAAAAATGAGCCAGGCGTGGTAGTGCGTGCCTGTATTTCTGGCTACTTGGAAGGCTGAGGCAGAAGGATTATCAGAGCCCAACAGGTCGAGCCTGCGGTGACTGGGAGCGTGCCACTGCACTCCAGTCTGAGTGACAGAGACTTCAACTCAAAAAAAAAACCAGAGTTTGCCAAGGGCTTTGAGGGAGGAGGAGGAGATAAGACCAAGTGGATGGAACACAGGGGCCATATCAGGCAGTGAGGCTGGGCTGGGCAATGCCACAGTGGGAGTACACATTACACATTTGTCCAAATTCACCCAAGAGGGAGCCCTCATGTCCACCATGGACTCTGAATGACAATCCTTTGTCAGGCAGGTTCATCAACTATAACAAAGTGTCCGCTCTGGGGCAGAGGGAGGCTGGTGATGAGAAAGCCTGTGCATGTATGGGACTGGAGTCTAAGGGAAATCTATCATCCACTCGATTCAGCTGCAAATCTAAAACTGTTTCAAAAAATTAAGATTGAGAAACTTTTGTTCTGCAGAAGAGCCTACTAAAAAGATGAAAAGACAAGTGATCACATAGGAGAAAATATTTGCAACCTACGTCCACATTCCAGGAGCAGGGTCTTAAAAAGTGAAGGGAGCGTCTCCTCATTTCCCTCCCCAAAAGCTGAACACACCCATCCCACCCACATCTGTTTGTCTAGAACTCAGTCCATAACCACACCAAGCTGCAAAGAAGGTTGCGAATGAGTCTTGTCATGGTTTGTGTTTGCCACAGAGGACAGACACTGAGACAATGTGCTCTCTTTGTGCATCCTCACGACAATGGCAGCCACCACAGAAGAATGAGCACCGTTGATTTCTAGATGACAAAATGATGTTCAAAGGCAAGTTAATTCACCGGCAGCCACACTGCAGTCAACTGTAGGGTCAACACAGGAATCCACCCTGTCAGGTTCTAGACATTAAGTTCTAAACTTTAAGACTAACGAAACAAGACTCTTTCTTTCCTCTGTACCAGTTTCTTCCCTTAAGGAATTCAGTTTGGAGAAGAAAGAGGAAAACAAAACAAGGATCCCAATGTGTGGTGACAATGTACAATAAAAACCTACCATCCAGGCTGGACGCAGTGGCTCACACCTACAATCCCAACACTTTGGGAGGCCAAGGTGGCAGGATTGCTTGAGCCCAAGAGTTCAAGACCTGCCTAAGCAAAACAGTGAGACCTTGTCTTTACAAAAAAAACAAAACAAAACAAAACACAACAAAAAACCATCAAGCACCCACCAAAGTCCAGACCCCTCCCCACAAGTCCGGAGACTCAACTCGGCTTCTGCCATCACTCTTGGTCCCTAAACAACAAACACGATTTATATTTACAGGCACAATGGATGTGGCACTAAACAATTTTCCTATTACTGGAGTTCCTTCCCTTTTATGTTTATTTGAGCCTCCCGTAGTATGCTTTAAACCTCTGACTTGAAAATCTCTCACAAAAACTGTGCCTCTGAAGCACATTTCTCTCTTTCAGAGGTGCTGCCATGTGTGACACCAGGCAGATGGCACTCTCTGACGTCCACCTCATGGAGCTCCCACATCCCTGCATGAGCAGAAGCAAATTCTGAGCCACAACCCTTCCTCCTCTTGCTCTGTCACCGCTGGTCCTTGATAGAAGCAATTCATTTCCACAGCTAGTGAGAGCTGCTAGAAGGTGAAGATGGATGAGCACAAGTGGAGACAGGGTGGCCATCCCTCTGCCTTCATCGGGGTCTGTGGACCCCATGGAGCCTCCCACTCCAGGCCTCCCCTGAGTTCTGCTAATGATTATAAATGGCAGAGAATCCCCAGTTTAATTGCAAAAGGTAATGATGCAGTGAGCATAAGATTAGATTCACCACAGAAGGCAATATCCTCAAACAATAAAAAAAAATTGAGAAGCTGGATGTGGAGATGGCTGAAATCGATAGGAAGGTTTCTGTATTAAACACCACGGTGGAGGGTCACAAAGTGATATTGACAGAACTGCTGACAGCAGATAAAAAAGGGGGAGAGAAAACCAAATTGATCTCTGCAGAAAATAAGTTACAGATTAATCACCCTACCATGAAATCCTTTTGAGATGACTTGGGGTCTGAAGATATGTTCGCAGTTTGATTACAGGCTGGGTCTGCAGAGTGGCTGGGACAAATGAGAGCCTGCCGCATTCAAATGTGCCGGACTCGAGGTCTCCTTCTCTGTGGCAAGCACAGGAGGGAAGCAGATGGCTCCCCCGGGCTTTTCCCAGACTAGGAGTCGAGTCCTCTGCACAAGTGTCTCACCTCAAGCCTGCAAGGAGCCTGGCATTTTAACAGGAAAGTATTTTTCTCTTTCTTCCCACAAGTTCACAGTCATGCAAGTGGAAGAAGGGGGATTGGGAAGGAATCACCTTAAACCTGAACCAGACTTCCTACCAAATCACCTAGAAGGTGGGAGAGGATGAACACGTCTCCCCCTGACCTGTAGGTGTGATCAGGGCCAATCTTAAGCACTTCTTTCAGATTTTTTTATCTTATAAGTTTGTGAAAAACTTGCATTCTGCTCTAGAGATATGTAGATATGTCTCATTTTTAAAGTTTTTAATGAAAATAATGATTTTTCCTTAAATACCACCATTGCTCTAGGAAAATGGCTAACACTGAATTTTACAGTAAAAGCTGTAAGATTCCCTTTTGACCATTCAGAGGTTTAAAACTTTAGCAAGGCACTTAATATTTTCAAAAGTCTTACTTCTATGCCACAGATTAATAATGATAAATCATTATTCATGCCATCTCTTCTACCCAGAGGGGTGAAGAGAGACTTTATTAATATTCTAAAGCACCATGAGGGAAATGAGCTAAATAAACATCATAAGAACAAATAAATATAAGATGAGGCCATCACTAGAGAAATCTACCCAATGGATGTTGTTCTCAATTCCTTTGACTACGTGTAGGCACTTTGGCCCCCTAGGTATAAATGATACTATAAGGTCTATCATTTTAAAGTTCTTGCAAAATTTTTCTCTTTTCTAAATTTGTTACTTTAACATAAACAAATGCCACAAAATTATGAATACATGCAAAACCCACATATTAAAAGAGAAAATGTTAAGGAATCAACTATAAAAAATATATGTATATTAGTATTTACTCTATGAAAGACAAAATGTTCAAAATGATGTATACGTGAAACTAAAACTGATTCCAAAGAAAGTGTGTGCTAAGGTCATTTTATAATGCATGCAAATGCATTAAAGATTTAAAGATCTAGTTGGCACCACAATGTTAATGTTTCTCCTATTTACACGTGTATTTTAACCAAATATGCTTTGAAAACCCATTCATGATTAGAGCCATACACTTGAAGCATGCATGTGTGGATATCCCACTCCTCCTTTGGACGGATTACAGCAAAAGACAAGAGCAGTGTCCGCTGCTGGGTTCTGTGTGAGATCACACAGCCCTCAATGGCATCTGGACAGCCTTCATCCACAGGACCCACTCACTCAGTTTTTTGTCTGATGATTTAGTCCGTTCATTAACTGTTTCATAATTAATGTAAAAATTTTAAACACATGAATCCAGAAGTGTATTCTGAAGTTAGCCTAAAGGTCTAATTTTAAAAATACAAAAATCAAAATTCCTTCGTTCTTTTTGCTTACCACAGCCTGGCTTGAGCTTTCCTGTAAGTCCCAGAGCAGGATATGGTTATCAGCCAATGAAATGATCTTCTTCCCATCTCCCATTGGCTCCCATGTGACACTAAGAGAAAGAGAAGAGGCATATATTAATATGGACAGTTGAGATACCCAGACTGGTAGTTAAGAGCTTTTATACATTCTTCATAATTCAGTAAGCTCTTTTTCTGGCCCAAAGTTATTCAAGTATTTATTACATTATTATTTGATAATGTGTGCGGTGGATACTCTTGTTGTCGCACTGTTATAGACTGAATTCTGTTCCCCCTTAATTCAGGCGTTTGAAGTCCTAACCCCTAGCATGATGGTACAGATGCTCCTCAAATTACGATGGGGCTATGTCCTGATGAACTCATTGTAGGTTGAAAATATCATAAATTAAAAATGCATTTAATACATCTAACCTACTGAACATCATTGTTTAGCCTACTCTACCTTAAATGTGCTCAGAGCACTTACATTAGCCTACAGTTCAGCAAAATCACTGAACACGAAGCCTACCTTATAATAAATATAGAATATTTCATATAATTTATTGAATACTTCACTGAAAGTGAAAAACAGAATGGTTGCATAGGTACAATTGTATGGCTTTTGCACCATAATAAAGTTGGAAAATTCTAAGTTGGGGAATGTCTATATTTGAAGATGTGGTCTTTGGGAGCTGATTAGAGTCAGATGAGGTCATGAGGGTGGGGCCCTTGTGATAGGATTACTGCCCTACTAAAAGGCACCAAAGAGCTTTCTTCTTCTTTCTCTGTCATGTAAGGACATAGCAAGAAGATGGCTGTCTACAAACCAGGAAGAGCCCTCACCAAGCATTGGATCAGCCAGCACCTTGATTTTGGACTTCCAACCTCCGGGACTGTGAGAAATAGATTTCTGTTGTTTAGGCCACCCAGTGTATGGTATTTTGCATAGCAGCCCAAGCTGACTAATATGTTAATTAACCTGTATTTCACCAGTAGCTAAGGGATGGACAGCAGACTTATTCTGGCCAAAAAGACTCAAAGGGGACCTGAGGAGGGCTGGTGGGTGGAGACTCTTAAGAAGGTACAGACAAGGCCGGGCTCAGTGGCTCAGCCTATAATCCCAGCACTTTGGGAGGCCGAAGTGAGTGGATTGCCTGAGCCTGTGGGTTCGAGACCAGCCCAGGCAGTTTGGTGAGACCTTGTCTCTACAATAAATCAAAAATTAGCCGGGCATGGTAGTGTATGCCTGTACTTGGAAGGCTGAGGTGGAAGGATCGCTGGAGCCCAGCAGATTGACTCTGGAGTGGTCATGAGTGTGCCACTGCACTCCAACCTGGGTGACAGAGTGAGACTCCAACTCAAAAAAAAAAAAAGAAGGCACATACACAAAGTTGACTTTGGATAGGATGCCTGCATCTTTTGTGGCCATCTCCTTAGGACCTCAAAGATGATGTCAAATTACTGGAGGAGATAGGAGGGCAGAGCTTAGTAGAGGGGGCAGGGGAGCTGCTAGCCCCCACACCCCAGGCTTGGTTTGTGCAGCCTTCTTTGATGAAAGGTCATCTCCTTATATTTGAACCATCATCGGCAACCAAAACCATACTAACTGGTATGATGCATATTTGAATGATAAAAGACCAAAATTACATTATCTCTTTAATAAAGACATAATGAAATCAAGAATGTTTCAACTTGACCACAAATATGGATTTTTGTCTTCCCTGATGAAATTCTTAAAGAGCTTATTTACAAAGAAGAGAGTTTTATTTCACATTCTCACGTTTTGAGTAACTGAAGAGGTCAGGAAGGGACTGTCCCATTTTTTTTTTTTTGAGTTGGTGTCTCACTCTGTCACCCAGACTGGAGTGCAGTGGCCACTCCCGGCCACCACAGCCTTGACCTGCTGGGCTCCGGTGATCCTTCCGCCTCAGTCTTCCAAGAAGCTGGAACTACAGGCACGCGCTACCACACCCGGCTAATTTTTGATTTATTGTAGAGATGAGGTCTCGCCAAGTTGCCCAGGCAGGTCTCAAACCCGCGGGCTCAGGCAATCTACTCACCTCAGCCCCCCAAAGCACAGGATTACAGGCTGAGCCACCGAGCCCGGCTTGTCCCATTTCTTTTTGAAACAGAACTCAGTACCGATCGACGGGGGCATCCTCAGGCACCTTGCCCTTACATCATCATTTCAAGACTGTCAGTGGAGCAATTATTACTTTTGCTTGTTTGTTTGTTTGTTTGTTTGAGTCAGGGTTTCACTCTGTCGCCCAGGCTAGAGGGCAGGGGCACGCTCCCAGCCACCGCAGCCTCGACCTGCTGGGCTCCGGCGATCCTTCCGCCTCACCCTCCCAAGTAGCTGGAACTACAGGCACGCTACCACTCAGCTAATTTTTGATTTATTGTAGAGACGAGGTCTCGCCAGGTTGCCCAGGCTGGTCTCAAACCCGTGGGCTCAGGTAATCCACTCACCTCAGCCTCCCAAAGTGCTGCGAATACAGCCTGAGCCACAGAGCCTGGCTCAATTATTACTTTTAATCACAGCATTAATACAATTCAAAACCACAATTTATTTCTCATTTGTAGGTTTACAAAACACACAGAAAGCTCAGAGGACTGTGATCACTGCTATGTTAGACAAAGTGCTTACTGTATATTTTCTAATAATAACAATAAAAATATATAATATCCAGTAATAAAAAAAAATTAAAACATCATGGCTAAAATGAATGCTGAGAAACCTGCCCCCAAATCCAACTGATCCTGTTCAGTTAAGACATCAGCCAATCCTAATTTTGGAGATACCTCTTTAGGGCAAGATGATGAAACTTTTCTTGGTAGCCTGTTTTTGCAGGTAAACATAGGTAGAGTTCAGACAGTTTGACGATGAATCCCCCCAAAAGTGCAACATGGGAAGAGAAGGATGAAATGAGTGGCCTGCAGATCTTGTCCTGGTAGAGAGTAAAGTACTTAGTAGACATTTTCTGTATATTGAGGGCAATATGTTTAGATAGATTGACAAGCTCCTCAGCAGATCTCACTTATAACATATGTGTGTCCCCACCAAAAATAAACAAACTCAAGGCTGGGGCAAGGAGTATCCCAATCAATAGGGTGAATACTACTCAGCACAGTGTTGTCAATATAACAGTCTAAAGTCAGCACAAGACACTTGGGATGTTTAACAGGAACTTCAGAAAGTCAGAGATTCCCAACTAACCCACAAATCACAGGATGAGAATTGGTCGATCTAATTCAAGGGCTGACCATCTAATCGTGATGCAAAGTTAACAGCTTGCAAGTCATCCATACCTTTCCCACAAGATGCACAAACATTGATCTTGGCTCCTTTGGTGTTACGAATATTTGACTAAGGTTTTCCCAGCCTGTTTAAAGGTTTCTGAAGCATACATCCAATTTATTAAAACTCTTTTATATTCCCCACAATGACTGATAACATTTGAGGTACGTGGCACTTAATATCTGCTGACAAATTCTAAGTGAGAGTGAAAAGTTCCAGGTTAGAGTGGAGATGCCAACTAAAAAAAAGTTCCAGGTTAGAGTGGAGATGCCAACTAAAAAAAAGAGACCATTGAGAAATAACTTTAATTATTAGAACATTTGGGCTTGGAAAATAACTAGCAACCCTAGAGTGAGAAAAAGTTTTCAAGGCCTCTGAACAATCAAAATCTATGCACCAGAGCCAAGCATGTGTTATCGTGTTTGAAAGACCAGCATCCTCCAGCCCGTCCTCAGAAGCTGCCTGTGCCCTTCCATCTGCTCACTTTTTCAACATACACAGTTATCTGATTTCTAAGTTCACAGAGAACAGAACTGTGGTGATGAGATGAGGCGGTTCTAAACAGAAACATGGATAACACAGTAAGTTATCAAAGATGGTTACTTGAGAGTAGCAGTAGAAGAAAGCAAAAATACAGGAATTAAAAAGACCCACTAATCTGGGGCAATTCACTGTGATTTATGTTCAGTAAGCTCCGGCTAAAAGTAGTAAATATCAAAATATGTTTTAGAAAAGTTTTCATCTAATGATGATTTTTCAAAAAGTCTGATTGTTTAACTTCAATAAATCTCAGTGCTTAATAAAACTCAAATTATTCAGAAAAAGCAACTCCACACAACTACAATTTATCAATTCACAAATACAAATTTTAAAAGAATAACCCTTAAAATTTTGTATTCAAATAGTTAAGATTTAAATGCAAAGTTTTGGCCAGGCTCAGTGGCTCAGCCTGTAATCCCAGCACTTTGGGAGGTCGAAGCGAATGGATTGCTGGAGCCCGCGGGTTTGAGACCCACCCGGGCAACTTGACAAGACTTCGTCTCTACAATAAATCAAAAAAATTAGCCGGGTATGGTAGCACATGCCTGTAGTTCCAGCTACTTGGAAGGCTGAGGTGGAAGGATTGCCAGAGCCCAGCAGGTTGAGGCTGAGGTGGACAGGAGCATGCCACTGCACTCCAGTCTGGAGGACAGAGTGAGACTCCAACTCAAAAAATAAATATACATACATACATACATACATACATACATACAAAGTTTTTTTTAAAATTGAGCTCACCTCATGTAAAAAAAAATAAAACACTGCACAAATAAGTCTACATTATATCCTACCTCAAGTTAAAGGAGAACTCTAAGCTACTCTCTGAACCAAAGTGACTCGATCAAATCACATGCTAACATTACAACTTAAAGAAATTTCATAGCAGATATTGAGAAACAGCATCACCCTAAGGGCTACAAACAGCAAAGCCACAGTATGGGACCAGTAAGAGATACTGCTTCCTGGGCCCCACCACCCGGAAATCCTCACAGGCCCTACTAGCTACCCAGGGTACAACCCACAGAGCGCTGGTTTTGCCTTAGCTGAGAAATCCCCCATCACCACACCCAGCCAGTGGGGGAGGTTTCATGCCCAAAACTCTCCTAAGCAACACTGAAGACTAGTGAGTCAGGTGCACACATAATGACACAGAGCATTTACAGCCAGGTACACACACACACACACACACACACACACACACACACACACACACACGTGCGCACCTGCGTTGCTACATTTTAGAACAGGGGTCCC